TATAGAAGTAAGTAGATAAAATGCTGTTAATACATACGTTGATGACGAAATGAGCAGAAACCATCAAAATAGCTGAAGGCCTTGAGATGAACACCACGCTGAATACGTAGCATGGCCCAGCTTTCATGAGATCCAGGATGCCCCATAAAAGTGAAATATATTGTTATATATTGTCTGTATATTGCATATTATAATATATTGTAGTACATATCAGTGCGTATATATTATAGTTCATAAAGGAATATATGTATTTTATATATTTGTATTAGGTTTGTTGGGCTGTATACCTTGCATTTCCACCACCGAGCTTGTACTTTCTGACTTCTAAACCAGCTATTAATTGAATTTTTCACTGCATCAACATTGTCTGATTCCCATTAGCTAATTGGCAAGGCCTTTGTGACCTGAGTGTGGAACCAAAGTAAAAACATGAAAGCACAGTGCAGCAAATGTCCAGCAGGCTATTTCTCAATTACCAGATAACCTAGACCAAAGGTTAGCACTGTCCAATAGGAATGCACCCCTTACCTCCACCCCTACAGCACAGTCCTGACCTTTGGCTTAAAGGGCTCATATAATGTTTTTTTCCCTCCCTAATTAAAGAGTTTTTGTAATATGTAAACATTGTTAAAATTTCTAAACTTACCATTCACTCTCCAGTCCTTACAGTCTATATACAGAAATGAACCTGCAAAAATTCACTCTTTTTGTGACAAAATTAAACTGCATTTGTAAGCGATAAAACTGATTTACAACTGCTTACAATAGTATTTAATTGCTTATATTTTGGCCAAAAACAAATCCTTCCTTTATTAATAGAATAGTTTGATGTAGTATGTAAACACAGCTAAGCAGCATGTTTTCAACTCATTGTTTTTGTGATGTCATAAAATATAATACATTTACATTTATTCACCTCGAGCCTACAACAGTTTACCCCTGGCATTCCGGCCTGGACTGAAGGAGGCACAATACTTTGCAGCCAATAAGAAGAGAGGTCATTTACACAGATCAGTCTTACAGGCATAAATTAATTTTTTGTGATGACACAAAGTTCAGCTGCATAAATTTTGAAGTGCTATTATTGATTCATAACTGACTAGAACAATATTGAACAAATTATTTGCTCATTCTTTCGACAAAAAAACATCAACTTTTTGAAACAAAAGACTTTGATGTAAGATGTAAACATAGCTAAACATCTTGTTTTGACTTTTTGTGATGTCACAAAATCCAATGCCTGTACATGTGTCCACCTACAAGTTATAAAGGGTGTTCCAGTCTGGACTGAATGGCACAATGCTTTGCAGCCAATCAGAAGAGAGGTCATTTACATACATCAGTCTTAAAGGCACAGTGACCAAAAAAAAAGTCTGTTTTATTCTAGAGGACATAGAAAATAGTCATGTAAATATGAACGATGACTGCTTTTAGTACATAAACTCCCACAAAAGTTCTAAGTGGACTTAAGAAATACAAGAAAAATGTAGGATAAGGACCCTTTAACAAATAAAATACTGCGACATGATAATCAATATGAGTTGAAAACGTGCTGTAGGCCAATGAGCATGTTGTCATTTTCCATTCTTAGAGAACCTAACAGAGCCCCAGCTGTACTGCCATTTAATTTGAGCCATGACAGCTATGTAGTCCATGGGCTGGCCGAAAGGCCGTCCCTCTATTTATATCTGATTAGGAACTGCGAGCAGAGAATTCCAGAAAGCTAACAGTGGCAGCAGTCAAAGACATTCTCCCCTTCAGCTTAGATTAGAGCACTACCAACAATATGAAACCCTCTTTAATCTGCAGCAACCCTGGAGGACTCAATCTTAGACAACAGTATAAGATAATTATAAGCTATAATAAAGTTATAAGCAAGATAAATGAAACATATTACAAGCAAAAAATGAAGCATATTTATTTTTGTTTTGTTTTTTTTTGTCATACAAAATATCACTTTTGTAAATCCAAAAAAAAAGACTCAAGTGGCTAAAAGCTAAAAATATTACTACAAACTACAATTTCAGAGAGTATTTACACAAGACATAGCAACTTTAGTGTAACTACTATTATTACTTTTGATTCATATACACTATTGTATTATTGGCATAGAAAAAAAAGAGGTAGGGTCAACTGCTTCATATCTGATGATCAAAATCAACAGGAAAATTTGCCGTTCCTGCCAAACGGATGAGGATGAAAGCACGGAAAACACGCGAATGAAACCCACTGCATTCTCAAGTTGGCCGATGGGCTGACGACGAATCAAGAGACAGACAAAAATAAGGCAAAAAGAGAAATAAAGATCATTTTCATTGAGCAGTCATTCATGTGTGACCTACACGTAGGCCGAAGCAGAGGATGGGGTGGAGGATAGAGAGAGAATCACAGAGCGAGAGAGTGAGGCCGAGTGAAAGATAGAGAGAGAGAGCTAAAAAAGCCTCCAGCACCATAGATTGAGTGGTTGTTAAGGCAGTGTCAGCAGCTCAATGGGGCCACAGCCAGCCCCATTTCTCTCAGCTTTAAAGGAACAGAGCTTGTGAAAACTCCGCCCATATCACTACGCTGGAAATGTATCGCCACAATTTCTTCCCTCTGTTAAAATAGTCCCATCTCTAAAACATATTATACAGATTTTACACCTTAATTTACAAACAGTTTGACTCAATGCTTATAATTCAATTACTGAAACAGTCATTCAGAGTGGTTTGACGGAAACGGAATAATTGTGGAGAAACTTTCTTTACAATGGTGGTGATATGAAACAACACAAATGACCATTTCATTTACTTTCCAGCAACTGCCCAATGGCTTCTGTTATGAGCATGTTTCGAGTTAACTGGCTCTCTTCTTTTCTAAGCACAGAGAAACGTGTTGAACTTATCATCCATGATACTCCACCATATGCTCCAGATGTGGTGGATACAGTGGGTTAAAAAAATGTTGGCGTTCTCCTTCAAGTCTCAAGACAGTCATTTCAACACGCACGCACATACACGAGCATCATTCTCATTTTCAGAGATTTTAGTGCGAGAGGGGAAAAAAAGTGTCTCTTTCTGTGCAGCATTAAAACAGAGCATGCTCAGTGGCCGAGTCAACTGCTGCACCAGCCACTGTTGACATTATTTCATTTTTCTTCTCAATTATTAGGATAATACCAGTTAGGTCCATCTCTAACCAGCAACTTCATGTTTGCAAAGGACTGGACCAAAGGATCATTTGGTAACATTTATGTGCAGGCTACTGTGAGTACAAGAAGTCTTTGTACAAAAAATAACAAAATTGTACATAAGTGAGGTTTTGCAAATAGTGTTTGACAGACTCCTCTGCAGATGTAAGCCTAAATGTGAGAACACTTTCATAAAAGATGCATAAGATTGGTCTAGGAGGGGGTGCTCTTTAAAGTAGGCCTGTCACAATTGTTATATAACTGCCTAAATGCAATTATTTGAGCTTATTTGAGTTTTCACAAACATATGAACATAAATTGGGTGCATTTCACATTTTCATCTGTTGGTTTGAGGCAAATGCAAGAAAGAGAAAGCAGAACGTGGATTTATGGGTCCTACAAAAACAAAAAAAACTTCCAATTTCAGGCTTCACGTTCAGATGACATGAGTAACGTTAAAATATTTGAGCGTTGTGAGTCGCAACCTACTAAGTATGGACAGTAAGGCTGTCGACTGAATGAAATTCGACCTTCGAATATCGTGAATTGTCAAATAGAAAAAAGAGGAACAAATATTCGAAGGATGAAAATGTCCAGCTTCAGGACTGTGTTGCACCAGATTTGAGTAGGTTTATACTTTGGGCGTAAAGTCTTTATTATGTCCTTATTTAACATTAGTTCGTTTCCAACTATCCTTTTACTAAATTTGGTTGCACCACAAATCCGTAAGTCGTGTCTTAACTAGTAACAACTAGCTAACAATGGAAACATGACGGCAGCTTCCTCTGACTTTTTCAATGGAAAAAATATCTACCATAGAAGAGAACGATGTGTACTAGTTAAACTGATTAAAACTCATTATTTACAGCCACTGTCTGTTTATTCTTTGATATTTCCCTTAGACAACCAAATTTGCAGCTTTTTAAATGACGGTTTTCTGGCTGACCGACACAACAGCAGCCTCAGTTTAGCCGTTTGTGCAGCTGCTGAGTCTCACTGAGCTGGAGCTGTGTGTGTTTACCTTCATGCTCGGAGTTTAAACCAGGTCGGTCATTAGAACTGTAAGTAAAATCAGTGTATAGCATTTAGAATTTTTAGCTTGGTTAACCAAAAAAGTCATGTTTTTGGTCTTTTCTGTGCTTTCCACATGGTTTCCCGAACACTTATACCCGCTCAGCGCGAGGTGTAAATATTTAGTCACTACAAAGCTCAACGTTAAAACTGGTTTGTGTGGTGCATCTCGTTCTGATTTAGTAATGCATAAACCTGAACTTCGTAAAAACTTACGTTACAACCAGCCTACGTTTGAACTTAGCACAACTGGTGCAAACGCTCTGAATGTGGACACTTTGTAGCTAATAATCACCTAATATTGTAAGATAGTGAAGCTGAGTGGCTAAGCAGACTTTTACTTTCACTACAGTCGGTGTCCTCACGCTTTCAGCACTGCCATTCTCTTTAGCAAAACAGACAAACTGTTAATTATATATATGGCAATTAATCATCAACAAACATTTCACGATTGTGACAGGCCTACTTTTAAGCTGATCTGAGACCAGTTTATGCTTTTCTTCTGGGCCGAGATCAGCATGAAGGAGCAACGTCTTCTACCTACAGCTTGAGGCGATCATTAGATCATATAATTTTTTTCCTTTGTTAAGTCATCTATCGCCCTGGTGATGCTTAAACAACATTACAGTCAACAGTCAACAAACCCTGCTACCCTGCCGCTAATGCACTGCTGGTGCGTCTTCCCTCTGAGTGAACCAAGCACCAACAGCAATATTTGGCATTTTGTAAAAGTTAGGCAGTGTTTTTTTTTCTCAAGAACTTTTGCAGCAGCTTGTTAGAATTTAGGTTGCATACACTGATATCAAATTAGTGAAGAAAATAAGTAGAGCCAAACAGTTGGCCAGCAACTTGTATATTAGGGAAAAACCATCTTGGTTAATTACTGTTACGTCAAATCTCTGAAGTAACAGCACCCCCACTCTCTTTCCACCACTGCAAAATAAATGCAGTACTTTCATGTTATTATAATAGCTCATTTAATAACTTCCGTGGAGTAATAAATAACTGGCAAGCAAAAGCTAATAGTATGAAGACACCTCAAAGTTATAAAAGCCTAATTCAATGTCAGTTGTGTTATGGTCTACTAATCTGTGATCGCTGAACCGCATGTCTGCTGTGAATATATGGACAGAAGACATGATGAGAATGGGGTAGTAGCCAGAGAATTAGTTGGTCCGTTGGTAGTGCAGTACTGTGAACAGTGTGTTCGCAGTGCCAATCAGTGCACCCCGTTCATGATGTGCTTCTGGTGGATCTCCAGGCCTGTGGGGTGGTCCTGGTTATGCTGGGAGAGACTCAAGTCCTCCTCCCACAGTCGGGCGTTCTTCCGGATCTCGTCCAGAGAGTACTCCTGCAGAATGGTCCCGTTCTCAAACACCGTCACCAGCATGTCCTGCGCCGCACATGCAAAATAATAATAATATTAAGACTGAGAGCATTTGAACAATGCTAGGACAGAATGTTTTCTGACAGTGATTTCTGATAGAGCAGCAGCATCCATAGATCAAAATCACATGAATTTATTTGTTATGTGATCTGTAAGGTGATTGGTTCCTAAGAGATATCTAAAAATAACTGGCACAACTTATAGTACTTGAGATTTTAGATCACATCGTTTCACATACAAAATAAAAATCAAGCTGAATTTGTGTAGTCTGTTCCCAGCATTAGCAGGCTTACCACCCAATCGACATACTGATTGGCCATTAAAATCAACTAATAATTTACTGGCTTTGGCAGAAATCCTGCCAATAAAGCACAGATAACATCTTTGTAAATGTTATATAGAAAACTACATTCAGGAATGTAGTGCTATTCTAAACAACCACAAACTTTTGGGCACTAATAATTCTAATAAATTTGTATTATTTAATTTTTGCATTATTAAATAATAACTTGTATTATTTATGACTTATGCTGTTTATTTGATCTTAAGAAATTTGACAATGAGAGCTGACAGTTAGACTGGTCAAAAAAGCACTGTTTAACTGAAACTACTGGAGCCTGTATGACACTGGCTGATCTTATTGTTATTCTAGCTCCTTTAAATTGGTATTATTGCTGGTAACAATGTTCATATGGGTCGTGCCTTTCTCATGAAGCAGAGCTTTGTGATGTATGTAAATCTGAAGTATTCTTACCTCCTCAGGTTTGCCCACGCCCCTCTCCACTGTCTCTATTAACCCGTCTGAGTTTCTCCTCAGCGACAGGCGGCCACGCTTTGATCCTTTAGATGGGTCTGTCACTGGCTGCTTATATACGTCCATCTACAAACATGCACAAAGACACAAAAGCATGCATAAAATATATTATCCCTCCATGAAATTAAATAATAAAATCAATGGATCATGGGAATACTTTCATTTGTCCACTACCAACAAGCGAAAAGTCAACTCACCCCCTTCCCATTGGTTTCCACATAGCTACACTTAAAAGCGCAGTTTAGTGTGTCTCTGTTGAGCTTCTGCAGCAGAGCACTTCCACAGCCGAAGAACACGTTCTCCGCACTCCAGCCCTCATCGCTGAGCTTCTTCAGGATCTGAGACAAAACCCACAGGAGAATACAGAGGAGTTAAGCTCACGACATACAATGGCTTTCCAAATTATTGCATCGTTCAAGAAATAAACTAGCTTTTTTCAACCTTGTTGTAATGCAGCCAATTACCATGGACAGTCACTTTGGCTATGTTTACATTACAAGCCTCATTGCTCAAATCAGATTTTTTTGCTCAAATCCAATCTCTCTGACACGATGGCTCACACTCATTTAGTTAAGTGATTTAAATCTGTAGATAATGTGAATGAACCGGCGTCCTTAAATGACACGCATACACACATCCTACTCAGTGACGTCACGTGAATGAAGCACGTGCGTCACGTGCATCATCAGCAAACAGACTACTGAGCAGATCGAGCCTTCACTGTGAAGATAATTAACTCTGATCAGCCCTTAGCTGCATTATTAGAGTGAGACGAAGGCGAAGAAAGTGAGATGTGTTGCTTTTCCACCGTTTACAGGCTTTAACTTCTATGCAGTGCTGCTGCTATGGTAACGCTGAATGATGGCGCACGCGCAGTGGGAAAATAAGCACATGAATTCCGATCTGAGCATCACATTAAGGTCGCATGACCACAAATCGGATACGTATCCAATCTAGGACCACATATGAAAGTGGCCCAGGTCAGATTTGAAAAGATCAGCTTTGCGTGTCCACACAGCCCTGAAAACATCAGATCTGAGTCACATTAGGTTAGGGCAAAAAATTTGCGACCACTTCAACCTGGTAATGTGAACGTAGCCTTCACTGCTGCTCAGCTACTGAAGCAACTGTCCATTGGATACTATTTTACATGTGTTTGAAGTAAACAGACTTTCTGTTCTTTCTAAGTTCAGGGACACTAAATTACTGTGTCGTAGCAGTAGGTCATTTATTGAATATGGACAACAAATGCAGGACAAAATTCATTTGGTTCATCATATTCTCTATTCCTCATACCTTGACAAAAAAAAATAAATAAATTAAAAAAATAATCTTACTGTGATGCCACTTCTCAGAGACCAAAAAATAAAAAACAAGCTTATTTCCATTAAATAATGACATCTCAGTTTATAGTTACAGTCAGATGCAAATGTTTGGATGCACCTGGTCAGATGACACCAAATATATTATAAACTTAATAGGGAAACATAATAAATAACTCTGCACTACAAAACACTATGAGTTAGATTTAAGATGCAAAGCACCTCAAACACCAGGCTTGACTCACTCACATTAGGCAGGCTGAAGATCTGCCTATTAGCCCTAAAATAGCTTTTGGCACATCATATCAATGACCTTGTTAAATGTACGAAAGGTGCTACATAAATATTAACCTCATCAACATCTTGCATTATTAGTTCTGCTTACCTTTTCAACGGAGCAAAGATCTATGCCATCACCCTGAATGATGCGCAGATATGATGGAAGCACCTTATAGCCTACAGAGTTTACAGAGCAGCTGAAACGCTCTTCCAAAATCTTTATCACCTGTAGACACACAGACAGATAGACAGAGTGAGGAGGGCTGTGATTTTTATCTATTCATAAAGTTTAAAAAAAAGGACTCAGTATGAGCCATCAGAAGTTAATCAATGAGTCAGGGACTTGGAAAGATGCTCTTATCCAGGCTGCTAAATCCAATTTAAACGGAAATGCAAGGCGGTCAGCCACAAATCAATACAGTATCATACTGCAAGAAGCTTCTGGCATACTGTTCTTGCAAAGGAAATGCTCACTCTATCTGCCTCAAAAAGGAGGTTTAGGAAGGAGGCCTAAGTCACAGACTCTCAAACTAAAAGTGCTCCTAGTGCTTAAAACAGATATATACATGCAGCAGATGTGGCCTGTAGTGAACTTAAAGGCTGATTTAGGATAAATGGTTGCCTTCTGAAGGCTTGTGATTCAAGTCATATATAAAGAAGGCAGAGCAGAACAATCTATGTGATGTGGATTTACTTTACATGAAGAGGTAGTGTACTTTAAGTTCTTTGAGTTCTGTGCTTTTAATCCAGTATGAATCCCATTCATTTTTCCTGAACTAAATCATTTTAGCCACAGTTTCCATGGTGGTCATTTTGGAAGTTCAAATAGTTCTTCTAACTGCATTCTCCTAACCAAGAGGAAGGACTTTTTTGCTGTGTTTGACTATATGCTTATTTGTATTTGTTCTAGTGTTACATAGTGTTGCATAGTGGCTTACAGCCAAGATAAACAGTTTTAAACAATTTCCTTGGCTAGGACTTTAGCACATGGTGGTGTTAGGGATGCTAAATTTGGCAAATTCTTTCACGTGATAACCGACTGTCAATAGTCAATGATTAATCTTTAACTGGCAAGCCTAAAATCAAGGACACAACTCTTAAAATATCAATCATTAAACAGTAACTTCCAGATCTAAAAGCTGATTGGCTGAGCTAAGTTCAGCTTCATTATAAAATAAGAACTATAATGTGAACTATAATACATTCATATAATACATTATATGAGCTAAAAAGTTGAGAAAATTACCTAAATATGCAAAGACCAGCTACTGAAAGTTACATATTCTCTATAAAAAGTTCTATTTATCACTCATTACTAGCCCAAGTTAAAACAAACAGAACTGTTATGACAGGTGCTAGCTTTAGCTCAATGTACCTCTTGAAAGCTGTTGCTATCCACCATTTTGCGCACTCACACTGTCATGTATTAAACTTTCTCTTGGACAACATGGACAAAACAACTGCCTTTATATTGCTTGCAGAGGTTTGCTTTCAATATGGTACAGCATTGTAATCGACAAGAGGTCTCAAATACCACTATTTTTAGTTCTAGTAATTTTTTAGAAGGTCTGTCTAACGGAACCAATTGCCTATTGCCGTGTCATGCATTCCTCTAAAGATAAACCCGCCTATTCATGAAATTAACAGCACTGGACAAACAATTGTTTACTTGTCATCCCCAAACTGACCAGGCTGTAACACAAGACATCCACTCATAAGCACAGTGTGAGAAAGAGACCTAGATTTGGTCGGTGATGCTCGTTTCCCCTGCAGGTGGCACTCACCTCCAGCAGCGTCTCTGTGGGGTCTCCTGAGTCTGGGCGGATGACAAGCATGGAGTCTTCACTGCGCTCCATCACTCTCTCCTTCAGCTTGTCGCCCCAAATGTGCTTGCAGGCCTTGAAGATGTCGTAGCTGTCGCTGACCACAGCCAATGGACCAGTGGGGAACTGGTCCAGTAGGTATTCATACGCCTCCTTTTCTCTGTTCCGACCCCAGGAGATAATGGTGCTACACACAGAAACATGGACAAATACAAATTACATTAGAACATGAAACTGAGCTTTGTGTGAGTTTTAGTCTTGAGACCTCTGCTGAGCAACATTTCACTCAAAATCCAGAACGCGATTATCATTCTTAAATAAACCTCAAAATATCCTGATAATTTTATTTGTATTTTGATATGATTCATGATTCAGGATAAATTTTAAGTACTCTGATTGCAAAACTGGAGACTGGTGTTTAGACATTATTACATTATTGTTACTTACATTTACTAAGCACATAGAACAGCGGTTCAGTTTGTAGCTTAACCATTTTATCATTAACGCAATTAATATTTTTATTAAAATATTTTTTATTTGAGGCTTAATTTGAGGCTTGCTTGCTTTTGGCTGCTTTCAGCTGAAGGCAAGCAGAGGTAAAGGAGTAAAAAAAAAAAAAACTTTTTAAATTTTACATTTTTAATAAATATTAACAACCATTATATTGGGCTTGCGAACACAAAAAAACCAAACAAACAAAAAAAAAAAAGACAGACACTGCACATCCTGAGGCAGAAATAACAACCATGGAAAATATGGAGCAAAAAATTGCAGTAAATCTGTCTAAAGGAGCCACATGTTCTGCACAGAATCAAAAGCAGAGCCATATTTATGCCAGAATATAAACAATTATGTCTGCTTATTTACCTTCCCACAACATACAGCGCATCCCTAAAACACAAGCAATACAACAACCTCCTACATTCATCAATATAGCCTTTTATACTGTGTGTGCTCGGCAACCTATTTACACTTCCCATAATAGAAGCGGGTACAAAATAGTGGGTTTAGTGGGACACGATGACACCCCTCACCTCACTCAAGTCCGTGAGAAGGGTTGTGGGCTGTGTATTGGTCCACACTGTTAAGAAGGTTGGGAACCCAGGGGAGAGTGGAATACAGACAGTAAAACCACAACACCCAGCTTTTCTTAGCTTTTGTTTGTTTTGGAATTTTCACATTTGAAAATAAGATTTGTTGCCACTTTCGCTGAGGGTGGTCGATATGGTAAAAATATAATATCACAATACTAATGAAACATGAAATGCATCACAATATTTTGACACAATGCACTAGTACTGTACTACATTAAATCCAATTAAACACTTAATGACTCTATAATCAAACATGTAGGTGGTCTGTTTTCAGGTATTAATGATATCCACAATATACTCAGAAAACTACACCATCACAACTACATAAATGATCATAATGACAATATCATATTAGTCCACCTCTACATTTGCCCAGACTTCTGTCCATTTTCCCCGATAACAGTATGTCTTACAGTGTTAGACACACAAGCAAGTCTATTTGAGATTACTTAACACTTTGATACAGACTGAGAAGCGTGACGATTTCAGGTATTCAGCTCCCACAGTGTTAAATGCTGGCCTATAAAACTTTCATTACTGTTAGTTACATGAGCCTCGTAGCTCCAGTGCAAAACTAAATAAGCAAACTTCAGTAAGCAAATATGTCTTGGCCAGCTGAATACATTTGGAGTAAGGGAAGCAACGGGTAAATCAGATTTTTTTTGTCTAACTATTGTTTTAAGGTCTAGCAACCACTCAGATGACCACCAAGACCTAAAGCCTTGGTGGTCATCTGTGAAGTTTGATGAGACAAACAAAGAGAGGAAGTTTTTTGGTTTGGGGTTAAATTAGGTCACTCCTTAAGTCGTAAGTAAAGAAACACATGTTAAAGATTTAGCCTGCCTGAGCAGCTTCTGTGCTTAAATGCAATCACATGAGCTGGCTGAGCTTCAGCGCTGTTTTGAGGAGTTAATGAAGAAGAAAGTGAGTCAGTTCTTTAGCGAACCTACTGTTTTTTTCCCCTTCAAGAAATGAGAGTGAATCAGTGTGAATGTTTTGTTGGGCGATAGTGCCAGAGGAAGCTGCTGAGTCAATGCCAGATGTTCTGATAGCTGTTTACATGCCCAGGAGGCAGGAGAATTAGATGACAGCAGCAAGGACATCGCGGAAGAAGTCAAGGAAAGTGAGATATAAAATGAAGTGAATGGTCTTATACTATCCAAACCGAGGGTACTTGTACCTTTGAGGGTATGTGAGCAGCTACCAGGGGGAAACAAACTTGATTTGCAAAACAAAATATATAACCTGATATCAAAAAGAAAATCAGATGCTCAATCATGATCAGTACAAAATATAACAAAAGTACCTATACTACTGGTGTCAAAGGTAACACGATACATGATCAATGCCTTTTTTTTTTTAAAAAAAAAAAACATTTGAAATGCATTTTCAATTTAATCATCCACTGTAGTGCCAGGCTGAAGCCCAGGTGCTCATGCATTGCTATGAATCACTCTGTGACTGTAGATATTTAATTCAAATACAGTTTTTAAATGTTACTAACGAAAGCATCAGCAAAGTCGAATGGTACAGTTACCCTTAAAACAAGACACAACACAACAGTAATTCAATAAGCAGCAAACCAACAAAAGCAACAGCAAAGTGGAAAGCTATAAGGAACATAAGCAAAAAACATAATTCTTAGAAAATTACACATTAGTTGCACTTTCTGCTTCTCACAATCCCAAACACATTCTATGATGTTCAGGTCTGGACTCTGGGGTGGTCAGTCCATTGTTCTGTGAACACCAGCAGCTTCTTCGTTTGATTTGCAAATTTTCTTCGTTTTTTGTCTATTTTCTTTTCTCAGTAAAGGCTTCTTGACAGCTACACAACATTTCAGACCTACAGATTTAAGTTGTCTTCTCAGATCTGAAGCAAGAGTGGTGCTTGATTTCTTCTCTCTCTCATCTCTCAAATACTACTCTTGAAAAATGAACTTATGCTTGATGGTAGTTTTGACTGAAAATTAAATATGTGAAGGTTGGTCTCTGACTTATGTTTTATATACTCATTGGTTAGAACATGCAGCCACTGTTGCTCTCACTGGATGGTGGTGATGTAAATTGGACACAGAATAGTGTTATTGTTACTGGACGTAATAAATACATTCTGATGGAGCTTATTTTGTCCATAAATAGCTATATCAAAATCTTTTAGGGTCACATTAAATTAAACAGGGTCATAATTCAATTTGTTGTGTTAATTAAGCCTGAGCATTACAGTCATTTTATCACAGTTAATATGCAGAGTAAAACCCCCTTGAACGTGGTAAAATCACTGCACCTGTAGGTTGTAATAACTTGCTGCATTAATACAAATTTCAACTGATGTGCATAGTCATATGTATGTATATGGATTATTTTACAATGCCATCAAAAGTGGCTTAGCCAATCAGTTTATCTGTCTTTCTGGCTGTTTATCTGTCTGATTTCTAGTGCTTCACCGTAATGTGAAAAGTGTCATTACACAGCAGAATGTGTTAGTTGTAACAACTTCCAATGGAAAAAGGTGCAAAAGCTGGCTAGAAAGCAAAACTAGATCCAGCGAATGCTGGTTCATACATGCTCCAGGTGGCATTAACAGTACAACAGTAAGCTATAAAACCTGTTTGAACCTGTTCATCTTAATAAAAGGGAGAATAAAAAGGACTAAAAACTCTGCCTTATGGACAGAAGCAAATACGATCAACATCCAGATTAATAGCATATTAAACGATTTAAAACGTTTAATAATACCCAATATCCGATCCGTTTAATGAACAAATTTAGAATAGTACTGGATTGGTATGAATGAGGGGGCACTTGAGCCATATTTAATGGGGGGACATAAGACAAAAAAGTCTGGAGAACATTCATCTACTTCACTGTCTTCTAAGTGATCTTGGCTCTGAATTGGGAAACCAGGAGCAGTTCAGAGACTGAGGCTGTAATATATATGTAGCTTTGGCAGAGAGTGAGAAAGTATGTCTTACCTGTGCTCAGCAGCAGGAATGGAGAAGCCAGCCATAGGGCAGTTGTAGTAGCGCTGGGCCATAAGCAGTCCAGCCACTGTGTCTGTGCTGCAGAAGTTGACCAAGTGAGCCGCTCCTCCAAGTGCTGCTGACTGCAAAGAAAATAAAAACAGACAGATAGAGAGATGATTAAGATCTTGGACCAACTTTGAGCTCTTCTGATGGATGCTGAGGCTAATTCTGTGTAGCAGTGATGTTTTATGAAAGACTGAGAAAATATCTATATCCCGCTGCTGAAACACTATCAGCAACAATACTCTAAATCTCTTTATGCGTTTGAGTTTTGCATTTATGCTAATCTATAAAGAGGAACAATGAAGACATTTTTAGACAAAACCATTTCAATATCGTCAAAATCAACAGAACAAAAAGCAAAGTGATCTTTCAGGAAAATCTTCAAGATCTTGAAGGAATGGGTTAGTTAAGAAAACGCTCAATTGGCTGCTGTGCCAATAAAAATTTGCATGTAAAGCAGAGATCAGATGATACATTCTTGGCCAACTTAGGCACTTAAATGCCAGTTATAACACAGATAAATAAATATATTCTATCTTGAAGAAAAAGAAGGCTCACTGTCATTCCTCACTACAAAATATGTTAGCTACACAGTATATGCTATACAGTGTATGTGTTTTGTTATTTATTATGTATATCACCTTTAATCTGTTCAATCTGTGTCTCCCTTCCACCGTTTTGTAATATAAGAGCCTCTGAGCTACGAGTGAGAAATATAATTAGAATCAAATTACACTATGCTTTTGTTATCGCCAGTCTTGTGAATTTAACTGTTTGTCAGTCTCGAGCCAAGTGGGTGTTTCATAAATCCCTCCCGATTTGACTGAAGCAGCTTGAGAGTAAGTCTTGGTTAATGCGCTGTAAAGTGAGAGCAATCAGGGAGAGTGGTTGCCATTTGGCAGAAGAAGCCCAAAAGCTTGTTGTTCTGGGATACAAATTGCATTTGATACCAGCCAAAGCCTCTCAACCCCTGAAGAACAAGAACATAGGAAAATCTATATGCTTAATGCCCACTATAGACATTTTCTATTGAAATTCAGGTTTGTATAGTGTAGTGGGTAACACCTCTGCCTTCTACGCTGTAGACTGGGGTTCAATCCCCGCCTGGGTAAGCACCCTACACAATACCAATAAGAGTCCTTGGGCAAGACTCCTAACTCTACCTTTGCCTGCCTGTGTAAAACGATCAGAAGTCACTCTCTCCTCCTTATTCACTCAATTCCTTCCTCCCTAGAAAGGCCAAGACACTGTATACTTAAAATACATATGAGCCCCTAAGAGATACCAGGATGCCTCCTGCAGCTTGTTCAGTCCCTCAAGGAAAAACAGAAAAATCTATACATTAATTATGTCAGACGGTCAGACAGTCTCTACCTCTTCCACCTTCCTCTAGCACTGTGATGTGTAGATTTGCTTATCTTAAAAACCCTGACATTTTGTTAATAACAACTGTAGTGACATTACTTCAGTGCGCACGCTCTCGCTCTTTTTACTACGGCATACTGTCACTGTTTTAAGACAACCCTTTATCAACAGACTGAAACACTCTTAACATAATGCATGTTAATGTAAGAAGACTTTATTCAATGTAATTTTGGAACATTTTTTATTCTATTTTTGCATATTTGTCATATTTAATTGTTTCAGACCTTCAAACACAGAATTTAAGACAAAAGACAACATGAATACCATTTTTTAATGCTAATTTCATTCATTGAAGGGAAAAAGTTAACCAAAACCAACTAGTCCTGAGTGGGCCAAAATTCCTCCACAGTGATGTGTAAGAATGACCTCCAGTTATACTTTTTCACACAGTGATACAGAATTATTGCAAAATGTTTTTCCTTCAATTAATGAAACGATCATTTAAAAACTGTCTTTTGTGTTTCTTCATGTTCTTGTCATATGACATTGTGTATGAGGATCTGAAACCATTTAGTTTGACAAATATGAAAAAAGAGAGGAAATCAGGGTTAACATCAGGGCAAATACTTTTTCACAGCACTGTACATAATCATTTACTCTGTTTTCAGGCATTGGGGTGATGACAGCAGGGACTTATGGCCACCTAACTGAGAGCAAGACATGTTAATCATCACGTCCTCCCTTCTTCAACGCCCCCCCCCATTCCCACCACCACCACCTGTCTCTGCACAAACAGGATCCAAATCTTTTCAAGTTTTTCTCAACTCAACAACTTGTTAGAAGGACTTTAAAAAGACATAACTACATCACCACCGTGCAGAATGGAAGTCATAAGAGCAAATCTGTATGTAATAGGGGACAAAAACAAAACAAACAAACAGATAAACGTCATTAAAAATTCATAGCAGGTTTGGAAGAAAAATGTTCATTCATTTAGTTGTTAACTAAGAGAGACTGTCATCTAGCTAGACAGATTGAATAATTCTTACTCTAAAAAAGCCACAGATTCACATATTTTATTTACTAAATTTTCCTGTGATGAGTTCATTTGTTTTGTCAAGGTTTCATAACATGACAAGATACCAAAGATAACAAAAGCTGTTTTTCATGACATAAGAATGCCAGTTTGAGATCCACTAAAAACAATGTTTTTCTAAGTTAACAGAGTCTAAGAGGTTCGAAAATTTTGAAAAGTTTTAACTTTTTTTTTTTTTTTATTTCTACATAAAACAGTTAAGATGCAAGCCAAGACATTCAGAGAGGTTGGATATGAAATTCTCTGATTTTTTCACAGTGGTGGTGACCGGAACCAAACATCTGAAGAATTTAATGCCTCTGAAATCTACATCACAGGAAGTTTTTACATGAAATGGACATGAATGCTTACTGCTTGAAGTCAGAGATGTTGTTTTAGGATAATTCTGGCCTAAAACATATTTTTAAACAAGCGGAAAAGTCCGAAGTTTTTTTTTTTATTATTTATTTATTTTTTTTTATTCATTAACTCTATTTTACCGTTATCAACATTATATACATAAAAACTGCTCATTTAGATTGGAAATAAAATGGTTATATTTGTGTTGTAGACATGATCCCTGGTTCATATCACCACCACTGTAAAGAACTCTGAGTCAGAAGTTTCCCTATTACAAATAATTTCATATCAAACCACTCCAAGCGACTTCGCGTAGATCTCACCAATTTAATTATGCAGAAACCTTGAAAATTGGTGGAATTCGTATGGAAAGGCCCACCGGTACATCACATATTACATCATAAGTCTACTAAAAGAAGAAGGATGCTATGAACACTGAGTTAATATAAGCTTAGTTCTGTACTTTTAATGTGCTTTTATGCTAGTTCTATTTTGGATACATGTGAATCCATTGCCTTTTAGGGCTTCCGTATCAAAACAGGGGCTTGTTATCCTACAGTCTTCACTTGAGCTTTCTGTTCACTGAAGATGTCAGTAGATTGGGGATGATTTAGCCAAAGAGAAAAAGGCTGATCCATCTGGGGAATTCATCATCTCAGTCTGGCACCATTAATCTCTCTACCACACCATTAATCCAGTCAGATAGAAAGCTGGCAATCCAAGAGCATCATCTTAACACTCCTTAATGGCAACCAGCAAGGAAGAAGAGCGCTTTCACTGTTAAACCTCCACACCTCGGGCTAAAGTCAATGACGGCAGCCTTAGCAATCACATTCTTCCTCAAGAAACTATTTCATTATCGAACTCAGGAAGCTCAATAAAGTGCTCAATCTGGTCTATACAGGATGATCCTTTTAGATGAAGATCCCTGCTGCAGCTCTTAGGGTGACTCAATAGGCTGCAATGCAACTAGAATGTAAGAATGTTACAATATATCAGGGTGCATCAACGCCTTGATTTGCAGAGCCTTAGGTATTGACATGCTATTATATCATCGCAGATCAAAGGCTTGCGTCTCTACTAGAAAGCCGATATCTTACGCAAGTGTGTTAGGCTACAGGCCACAAACTACTCCGCATAAACTGTCAAAGTCCACAGTGCACGGCTTATTTAGCAAGTCACGGCGGTACTTTCTTTAATGAAGTTCCACTGGAGCTCTCTTGCTCATAGCTATTTTGGTTTGTTGAGCCATCAGAGTGTGTGTCATGCCATCTGCGCGCAGTTCCACCGTTCCAGAGCTTTCAACCAGCGGGTATTTCTCCGAAAGGGCAGATCAGCGAGGCTGTGTCAAAAACAATCATGTTCTAGCTGCGTCTCACAAATGTACTCGCTCTCACTGCACTGCATATACAGCTAAAGCTTGAAATATCTGTCCAAACCTGACAAGACTTGATTACCCGCACCAGCTTCGGATATCATCGATATTTGGCAGTTTTGAACCTCGGATCAGGTTCAGCTCTCATGTTAGGATTCTCACTGCCTATCTCCTCTACCTGATCTTGGCCCATATTTACCCCTGCTTTAATTGTTTCTCTACTTTATTGTCCCAATAGTTTTTAAAATTGGGCTCACTCAAGTAACTTGTATTGCGGCTACAGGGTTCACTGAGGTCCGCACAGCTAGAACTGCATATATATCCATATATCCAGACTAAAAAAACTTTGGATGTTGTTTGAATGCAGTGAGTCCTGAATACTAAAATCTGTTAAAGTGGGATTTAAACACAATTCTGAACAGCTGATCATTAAGTGAGTCACTTTTTATTTTGTTTATGGATGAATCTGATGATGGCTGTTGTTGAGGCTAGGTAAGTTAGCAGGTGCTTATTAGAATTGACAGCTGATCATTAGGAATATGGAGTTTTATTTGGTATCCAGTTCGTGACTGGGTTCAGGTTGGGTTCAGGATTTTGACAGCCTACAGTCGGGTTTAAAAAAAACTTATCAGCTTAGAGTCGGGTTTGGACAGAAATTTGAGGGGTTACAGATGGCTTCGGGCAAAATTCTCTCTGGTTATAATAGGGTACAAACAGAACTTAGTAAGGCTAAAAATGGATTAAGCAGATTTTTTTCAGGCTACAATTGGGTTCAAATGATTTTGTAAGGCTAAAAATAGGTTCAGTTGGGTTCACAGAATTTTGTATGACTGAAAATGGGTTCAAACTAAATTCTGTAGGGCTGAAATAGATTCAAACAGAATTTTGCCAGGCTACAGTCAGGTTCAAACTGCAATTTGTAGGGTTAAAAATGGGCTCAAACAAAATTTTGTCAGGATAGAACTGGGTTCAAACAATTTTGTACGGCTAAAAATAGGTTCAAACAGAATTTTGTTGGTCTAATAATGGATTGAAACAGAATTTTGTCAGGCTACAATTGGGTTTATAGAATTCTGTATGACTGAAAATGGGTTCAAACAGAATTTTGTAATGCCAAAAATGGACTCACAAGAATTTTGTCAGGCTACAGTCGGGTTCAAACTGCAATTTGTAGGGCTAAAAATGGGTTAAAACAGAATTTTTTTTAGGTTACAATCTGGTTCAAACAGGATTTAGTCAGGTTCAGACACATTTTGTTGGGCTACAGACAAGTTCAGACAAATTTTAATAGGCTGTAGCCAGGTTTAGACCACGTTCAGGTTCGTGAGGCTACACTTGTGATCAGACAGAAATGCATCAGGTTACAGTCAGGTTCAGACAGAATTCTGTTGGGCTACAGTCGGGATCAGACACAACTCTGTCAGGCTACAGTTGGGTTCAGAAAAAATTTGATGGGCTATAGTCAGGATTAGACAGAAATTGGGTGGGTTAGTCATATACAAAGAGAACTTTGTGGGGCTACAGTCAGGTTTAGACACAATTCTGTCAGGTCACAGTTGGGTTCATGCAGAACTTTGTTGGGATAGTCAGGTTTGGATTCTAAACTTGGTGCTGTGGGTTTATCTTGGACAGAACATGTTCTCAGCTATATTTGGGCTTGGTCCAAAATTTCAGGCCCAATTACCGCTAACACTAACACACACACACACACACACACACACACACACCCCTAATGCACAAAAATGCAGGCATGGTGATTATTACCTGAACCAGGCCTCTGCTGTGACACAGACTAGCAGGGGCAAACCTGACCTTTCCTTCACAGACAGCCAGACACTCATCTCTCCATACACCCCCTCATCACCACGGTAACATCCACAATGCTTAAATTGGCCTAGAAATGGCGTGACTGACAGCTGCAGAACACTGTAGCAGGTCCCGCTGGGCTTTCCCCCTGAAAACGCAGAAGTGTAGACACGGCCTGCCTGTCTGAATCCATTCTCCTCCATAAAGAAAAAGGTCATCCCTGATCTCTTTTTGATGAGGTGGAATACCCTTGTGTTTTAACGAATTGATATTTTTTTCTCCCTTTGGCCAAATAATGGCTTTGTAATTTTACTGCTCCCACAGGACACTCCTTCATGTTTTGAGGCACTGAGGAGACGTCGATGCCTGCACTTAGATTTAAAGTTCAGTCCTGAACGATGAGTATGGGTCGTTACTGTACGCCAGGGCTGGAATGGAGCCGAGCGATCATTCTGCTATGTACGGTGGCATAAGGGAGACATTTAATGATTTCTGAATAAAGGTTAATAAAACTAGTTAAATATTAAACTGTGCTTCTGCTGAAGCCATTTTACTCATGCCCTTGTAGACCTGTATTAGTAATAAATTAATTGGTAAAATCGTAGGTCATAAGTGTAGTTTGCTTTGCTCTAGGATTGAACAGGGACATTATTCTACAGTGAACTTTTAATTATTTGTTTTATCATGTTGTTATTGTTTTCATTTTTCACAAGCATTGGCAACTGCTCATCCTCTGATACATGCCAAAAAGGCTGCAACTAATCTACTGTTGAGTAATCTTTTGACTGCTGTTTGATCAATCGGTTAATCAAAAAGAATTATGTTTTCTGTAGTTTCCTCTTACTCCATCCATCTGTGCGATAAGCAATTTCTATAGAAGTTCTGTCTGTGTGACAAGCAATTTCTATAGAAGCAATATCAGCCCTTAGCCTTCCTGCAGTGTAAGGCAATCTACTGGGATGACAGTGGGTATCACTTTGGCATCATAAAGCATAATAGAGTACTTCTATCTGTATGTAAACAAAGTAAAAACATCTTTCCATAATCAAAACACTCAATGACCAATCACTGCAACGCTACTTGTCAAGTATCTAACAAGTGCATGATAAGTTGCTATCCGAAAATTAGATAGCTAATCAGATACACCGACATTCTTAATTGATCCTAAAGCAGAAATTCAGGCTTTATCATGGTCTTGGTGTAATGACAGTTAGTGGTCACTCTCACCTCTTGTGAAGAAACTCCTCTGTAACCAAAATCATGCAGTTTGAATTCCAGCCCTTCCAGGCTGCCTGATGTGGCCTTCAGGTGCTTGGCCAGGATCTTTTTGAACTCCCTGGAGATTGTTGCCACGGTGATGGGGTACCACATTTGGACCAGCATAGTCTGAGGGGACAAAGAGCACATGCCGCACAGACGTCAGAAACAAGAGCCTAGTGTGTGCAGAAACCTTCCCAGCCCCTACTGATTTCATCAGCTGTCATCTCAGAGACATGCGGCAAAGCACTGCAAAACCTAACACACAAAAAAAACATCCTGGCCAAATCCAAACCAAAAACAAACACTTTTGTGACAGTGCAAAAGTAAAGACAAAAATGAACTATGAATGAGTGCAACAGACGTACAGAATTGTTCTCCAGATCTACTTTTTTATTATTATGTTCTTCTTTATAATTATTATGCACTCTGCTGGGGCACCACTCTCAGTCCTGCCCTGTCTTGGCATCACCTCCCTCCTGGCTCCACCCTGAAACTGTCCTTATTTATTCAACCTGTTTCTTGTTTAGTCAGCTTGTATTAACTTTGTTTGTGTTTCTGTGTTTTGCATTGTAGATCTCTGTAGTCATACATATAAATATAAAGTACTGTGCTTTATCACAGCTTTATGCCTTGTTATGACATTACTGCTTGTATGCGCTGAATTGTACTTTGCATGTTTATCTGCACTTACTGTACCTTGCAGGATTATTCCTTGCATTGAAGGTTCCTCTCTTGCTGCCTACAAATGTGTGCACCATTCCCATTACAAACTACAAAGGGTAGGTTACAGTGTAGAATTACAACCTACAACGGGTATGAATGGACACTCTAGCAGGGCATCAACAGCTAAGAATATGTTAAACTGTGCAATCTCTCTTAACAGCCCGATTTAACTCTTCACTAATATTTCTAGGACATTTTATCAATTTTCTTATATTTCAGGTGTTTTCCATGGTTGGAAAACTCATTTATAAACTTTTAGGATTTCCAGGACATGTAGAAACCCTGGTATTGCTTTTCTATTGCACTTTTCTATTGCTTTGATTGCTTTTCTACAACAATCATTATGCAACATTTTTGGTATGTAATGAAAACAATAGCAAAGAAGCCTCAAACATAGTTTTAAATATACTTTTTAAACATTGCCAATTTCCACCAAAAACTTAGTGGCCGTTATTGGTACTTGTGGCAACTGGTGGAATGACAAACTGTGGTGAAGAAAACATGCCGTTATGACACATAACAGCACAACAGAGCACTTTTCAACCATAAGCTAGATTTGAGCTGGGAGAAACAATATACTGTGCAACATTGTTGCCCTCTGGGACTGCAGTTGGAGGACCCCACCATCCAGGTCATACCCTCATCCTCACTGACCCCGCCATTCTAATCAAGCTTGTCTGAGCTGTTCCGGGGGCCGTAGCAGTAGCCAAGAGTGTGCTGGAAATCAACAGAGCCCGAATCACTGTCCTCCTGCACAATGGCATAGTGAAAACATCCGATGTGGAGCAATCTGCAGCACCATCATGTTTATAAAATCCCCAGACTGTTAACTATGTGTGGGGAAAGTTTTTTCCACATTAGTATCTATCTAGCTCTACTTAAAAGAGCCATTAGAATTGTCTCTTTATGAAACACAATCCAGGCTTAAGATACAGGGCTTAAAATAGTTCAACTTTAGATAGCATCACTGCATGTAATGATTACTGTATTATATGTAAATATACACTCCTGTGCAAACAAAAAGGCCAAACCCAAAACACAAATGGTTCTTATTGATGGTCTTGCCCTGGTCTTTAAAACCTATAAAGAATATTTGATCACCTTAAACACAAACCAGCTTGGTGATGTTTTTTATCTGTTTGGAGCCATCAATGCTGAGTAGAACCAAACTGACTCTTTCTATTAAAGGCTGTGTACAAGTTTTTTTTAAAACAGCTTTCCCATTACTTAATTTATCTGTTTATTTCATTCTTGCTAGTCTACTGACTAATAATTTGTTGTTATGTTGCATTAAAAGCATAACGTTTTGCCATTTGGGGTTTGGCAGAAATGTATATCATCCCTCAGGTCTTCATTCAGAAGCATATTGTAAAGAGGTATACACACTCACAAAATGGATGACAGCTAAGTGAAAAATCAATGTCAAATGTAGTCAATAAGCCAAGACATATTTAGTGTCCAAAGTCTGCTTCTTTAGTGTTGTGCTGAAGCTAAGAAGCTTAGTTAATGGAAGTTTATACATCACCAATTACATCAAACTGTGCACAATTGTTAAATAATCTCAAATAAATTTGCTTGTGTGGTTTCGAACACTGTACGGCATAGTATTACCAACACAAAAGGACAAAAGTATCAAAAGTATGTTGCAAAGCAGTAACAGCCATCTCTTAGACCGTAAAATGTGCTGTAAAAGACTGTAAAAATGGAAGGATTTAAGTGGCAGCAGGGCACACAAAAGTAAAGAGTGGAGAAATTAAACACTTTTGTGTTGGTTCAATTTTTTCTTGCTTTTTTTCCCAGACCCAAAAAAATTGTACAACTTGTTTCTGACTGGAAGTTAAATAAATGAAAGGTGCTTTGTGACTTTGCACAGTACTGTCTATGCAAGCAAATTCATACCAAATTGTCCTCAGTGACAGTTTGAAAAAGTTAAAAGAAATACCTCAATATAGTTAGTGAGCCAGTAGAAGTCCGGGTCTGTGTTCTCCACAGTGAAGAGGACGTTTCCCCTGGGAATGATCCTACCCTCAGGAACGGCTTTGATGCGGATCGGAAGGCGGCCGTCGTATCTCTGACAGACACAATTAGACAGGGGAACAAAACACAGCCAGGCGTGAGCTCGAGCGAGACTCATGTGAGAGCGTTCAGCCGAAGACGAATAACTGAGGGGTTTTAGCCTGGTTTGAAAAACTGAGGACGAGTCGTGTTAATCCTACCTCCAACACTTTCCTCCAGCCTTCTTCGTCAAACACTTTCTGCTTGAAGTGCATCTGGTAAAAGACTTTTGCCTCCTGAATTTTTTCCTCTGTGACAACACGGCCTGGGGGGAGAATTTACAATAAATTATAGATGATCTGCAGAAGATAAACAGAACTTACCCATAAAATTTCACTTCAGGTTCAAAACCATATAAGTGGGTTTCTCAATCACAGTGCGGGGACCACATGTTCTAAAAACTTCATCAAGTCCTTATTAATTACCAAGTCCTTCATAAATGATAAATAGGTCAACAAGACACAGGACTGAGAGTGAGTTCCACTGATTTGGGGTGTACAAATGCATTAATGTACTGTGATGCATCAGTTTGAAGGTGGCGTTTTAACAGCATGAGTTTGCAATGTTAAGAGTGAAGAATGAAGATTATAATATTTAACAAAATATACAACTAAATTAATTTTTTTGTCCTTTATTTTGCACTGTAGCTAAAAAGCTTTAGAGTTGCACTAAAGTTTCAAGGCTAATGTGGCTAACAAGTAAGAAAGGCTTATTATAAATCTTACACTCAACAGCATCCTGCAAACCATTATTAAAGTTTCCAAAACTATGTTAAGCTGTTAAAATAGATTTATGTTGTTTCTTAAACCATATAATATACTGTTATCTATACAAAGAGACTAAAGTAAGAATAAAATATGGAGAAATCTCGATCTAATTTATGGTCTATAAACTGCTATATAAACAGTGAATGCAAATACTAGTCAAACTCATGCATTCAGGGCATAACAAAATCAATTATATAAAAATAACTGATTATATCAACATAACTTATTTGACTCGTAGGACGTATTGAGACTTGATCATGACTGACTGATTGATTGAATTACTGATTTGATTGAGTTATTCCTTAAAGAATGACAGTCTGATACAATCACTGTTAAGGTCAGCAATTAACACCTGTGAAATTAATGATTATACTAGTTATCCTAGAGCAATATCAGAATCAAACTGGTATATTAGATATTTACTTTTTTATAGAAAAACTTTTTGATTGTGCGTGTATATATATGGACACAGTCGGAACAAAACTGTATCTCATTTTCTATATATATCCAAATTTATATCTGAAAGGAGCAAAAGAAATTATTTAAATTATTGTAAAATAACTGTACACTAAAATTAATAATACATGTTTTTCTGCAAATTTTAGTGCAAATATGCGCATCAGATAGATCAGTTGATATTTCAAGCCACTATTTCACATTTTTATGGTACTTAGGAAAAGCTTAAAATTTAGGTGATGTGGGACTAAAATATGTTAAAATATCTGCATTTTAACTGAATTTGGAACCGTACAGGAAGAATTATTTCTCTGTGATGCTAATCGAGCCAGATTTATTCCTAATTTCTACATTTTATAAATGTTTCTGTATCAGCATCAATATGTACATGAACATGAAAAGGTCAGATATGGGCATCTGGCTGCAATTCCCATATTGGTGCATCTCTAGATGTCCCCGCCCGTTATGGGCACAAAATATAACTGATGAACTTTTTTTAGCATTCACGCAAACTGCAAGAGATCACTTCCCATCAGTACTAAATCTCTCTTTTATTTTCAGACCTAGTAGATGTATAATTAAATGGCTAAACCCCTAACCGAAGGTCATGCAGGGCATACCTTCAGTTAGGGATTTAGCCATTTATTGGCAGAATGGGACACAATCAGGTCAGATCAGGAAGTCTTTTATGTGAGAGGTGAACAGCCATTTGAGTCCAGCAGAATGGAAGTCCTCCAATTGACCAGCTGTGCCATTGACTGGGAGGGGGTTAGAGAAGGGGTCAGAACCAGACAACACAGTACAAAAAGGTCACATCTCACGCTTTCCACATATGGTTGCAGTCTGACCCAGTCACAACGTGGTGTATTCACACAGTGTTTCTTTACTACACTCCAACTACCTTAAGGGGAAATGACCCACTGTTATGTAACTGATTTCTGGCACTAGGGTGAAGCGCATGCTTTGTGTACACTTACAAAAATAGAACACCCTCTAAAATAAGGGGTTGCCAATGTTTAGGGTGTTATATTTCAAAATGGAAGTCAGCATGTGATGGAGGGAGTCAAATTTGCAGACTTGTGTTTACTATGGCAAGCAAGGTCTTTCCATTTTCAGAAGCAAAGTATTTTCCTGCTGTCTCAAGCCTATGACTGAGCATGTGTTCTACACTAATCTATTCTAGCACAGACAGATTCCTACAGTTTGACCTTGCACCGAGTCAAGGCTCTTGTCCCAGCAGGACTCATGCAGTACGTGAGAGCTAGGGCAAACATGTGAATTGCATGTGACAAAGACTGAAAGTGAGATAAAGGCTTCAGGGCCACCTTATTGGGGTGTGTCCAGGAGGAGTGAAGAGTGCCCAATGGGAAAAAATGGATAATATTAGTACAAATTCATAGTATGTCAGCAACATTAATGGGGCTTAAGGGTTGGTCATATGTCAAAAATATAACAGGGTATATTTTTAAGGTATATAGGGTACATTTTAAGGGTATATAGGGTGGTATCTACTACCACAAACTGCAGAAAAATAGTAAGGGCAGTAGACTTTTTTTTTTATCAGAAAATTACTAACAATAATAACATAATAATAATAAATACAAATAGCATTGGGCCTCGTCTACCACACTTTCCTAAGAAGAAATTTACGATGTTCTCCTTGAGAAAGCACAGCATTTCAGTACTATTCTCTACATAGTTTGGCTATTCAGTGAATTATTATGGTGTGCTGGATGGCTGGTTGAGCAGAAATCTGAAGCCAAACCTCTGTTCATCCAACCAGCTCAAAAGATATCCACTCCTATCTATATATAGTTGTTCAGTTTTCTAGAAGTACTGACAATAACCATGATATACTCAGTATGATGATCCATCATGTGATGACTCAGTATTGTGATGATCAATCATGTGACGACTCAGTATTGTGATGATCAATTATGTGATGACACACTATTGTGAAGATCAATCATATGATGACACACTATTGTGAAGATCAATCATATGATGACACACTATTGTGATGATCAATCATGTGATGACACACTATTGTGAAGATCAATCATGTGATGACACACTATTGTGATGATCAATCATGTGATGACTCAGCATTGATCTATCATCAAAACTATAACATTCCCCACCCTTAAATATGTGGCTATTTGCACACATTTGTCAGGCTTGTTAAACAAATATTGACCTTGTCCATAAAATCAGAATGTAAAAGCATCAGCATTCTTTGCAGGAGTTATAAATAATTATTAGCCATTGCTCTTGTGTGGGTATATGGTCTTATTCAGCCAGCTCGGTCATAAATAAATACCTGCTATATATCTCTTCAGCAGGTACTGCAGGCCGAAAAACACAACTTCATTGAACTGGGCACCCTTCTTGTGCCGGCACTCAAAGTATGAGTACACTTTGCTGACATTTGGAGGATATTGCTTGTAATGCGTTATCTGCAAAGTAAAAAGAAATTGCATTCAGATTATACCATCACATTCTTATCATTTCATAAAAAAGAGATACAATATCAGACATTCCAGGTATAACATGGGTCTACAGTTGATAAGAAACAAGTTTGAATTCCAAAAAGGATTCAAAGAAAACCTTATGAACATGGCACATGACACTGTCACTTCAAAACCTTATAACTTTTTGGCTGCTTGTTTATTTTTTACACCTTTTGACACATTCTTGGCAAACAGGGCAATAGAAATGGTCCAAAATCACTTAAAAATAAAATACAATCTCATAGCATTAACTTAACTATTCTACTCTACACTTTGGACAACAGCAATGATATGCAAACTGTGTTATAAGCTTGCAATCTCTTGTGTACTATACACCAATATCTCTGCAAATCTGAAGGTAAAGAAAATCTGTGCATGTGTGGTGGGGGAGGGTATGTGCATTAACTCAGCACAAGGTGCCCCTTGTCTTCTCCATGGACACTAATTCGGTAATCAGAGCAACTCCCCTTAACTCAGATGTAGCCTAGGAGCCGACAATGTGCAAAAACAGTCATGGCCTCCAGTCACTGATCACTGATTCTAGCCCTATATATCACTGCTGTCGGAACAAACCCTTGTATCTCCATGTTTGTCGTTTTTCAGTTTTTGACATAATTTGAAAATGGATGTACATTGTGTCTAAATTTCATGATGAATAGACCAAAAGAAATAACCCAAAATGTCTTGGAAAAAATTCTGGTTTCATTGACTTGCATTAAAAGTGAAGTAGGTTTTTTTTCCTCACCTGTAAAAGTTACCATTTTGGAGATACAAAGTTTTGTTCTGACAGCAGTGATATATATATATATATATATATATATATATATATATATATTTTACACACATAGATTGAATAAGGTCTATCTTGTTGATGAGTTGGCTATTACACATTTTCTACAGTTTTTTAACAGGCTTTTATAAGTTTTTTTTTCTACTCAATGAACTGTACAAATAAGCAGATGACTTGATTACTAATGTCATCAATAGTGATGGCCTGGCATACTGCAAAAGCAATTTGTCTAGAAGACAATGTCAGGAACAACTTGCTAGAAAATGTCTTATTTACTGTAAAATCTGTAAATAAAAAGGTCTTTGGTGTCTTTGCTGCATGTAGCTGATGCTGGAAAAGATTAACAAGACTGTACGGTGGATATTTCACTAAGAGGAATCACCTGCCAAATATTGAGATGCTGGCATGTTGCTTGACTGGCAACATTTTATGATTCTATCCGGAAAGGTCAGTTACGAAGAATCGTGTCTGAAAAGTAAAATACTTTCCACATACCATTCTAGAGAGTGACAGACAACCCATTATTGTCTACAGAGATTATAGAATAATAACATGCAAACTACAGCATACAGCATTGTAGCCTGCACCGTACTGACAAAGCCAACTAGGCCTCATTTTTGAAAGCATGAACATGTACTTGCTGAGGAGTAGAAACTGGAACTGTAAAACGCAAGCACCTGACCAAAAGCCAAGTAACAAAGTAATGGCCACGATTCTGTTTCGTCATCTGTGCTGAGTACAGTGATAACAAACACAGTAGTGTCTTACACATGCAGGGCAGCATCTAATCCTAAATCTATGAATTACACAATCCAAGCACAGGACTTTGGATACATGGGACTTTAATCTATGACTCTGGGCTAAACGACAGATCCCCTTTGACAACAGTGACTCGGTCAAGCGAGAGAATGTGAACAATTCATATTACACATCTGAACTTTTCTCTCAGATCACAAAAAAGCAGAAATGCTATTGCTTGGACTGACCTTGTTTGGAGGTCAAAAAAAAAAAAACAACATTTATCATATGAACTACCTCTTTAAGCCCTGTTTCCCAGACCCTTATTAAACCTAAGCTAAGACGAAAAGAGTTTCCAAAGGGGATTCCTCACTGGCACTGCAAATTAGTCCAAGATTAATACGTCATAGGTCTGGGATCAGTTTACTGGACATGGCTTAGGCCTGGCCTTGGACTAACTAAATGTGGTGAATCATAACTTAACATCCCTTTCGGTCTACATTTATGATTGATTTTCTTTTACAGAAAAGAACTACAGTGAATAAGAGACCTTTGCTGTATAGTATTATAGTATAGTAGTATCTATTATAATGCATAGTACTTTCACCTCTACATAGTATTCTCATAGTTATATAGTAATCTCACATACCCATGTATTACCACAGTGAACTCTAATTACCATCTTAGTTTACTATGATATTTCGACAGGAATTCTACCGAAATTCCCTCTTTTTTTATAAGGACTGGCTGGGAAATTGTGTGTGGTGAGTACACATCGCTGGAGCAGTGAAGGCGATTACAGAATTTCATCTGCCATTTTCAAATAACATCTGACCTATTTGGCATTATCCCTAACCCTACCAAAGAGATGCTAAGTTGACTTGCCAGCACATATCACCATCAAGCAAATGGTGGTTTTCCTGTCCTCTCTAAGGGGATTCAGATTCAGCCAAGAACTCACTTGAATATATCTTTGTACAAATTTCTGCACCATGTTGTACAAACTATACCAGATACAATATATACAATACTGTAGCATATGTAGTTAGCTGTGTTAAAGCGGAACTCCACCAACTTTTGGTTTGGTGTGAAATGCTCTGCTCTAGTGAAACTTACTGACTCGGAGTTCAATGCCTCTAAAAGCTCCCTCACAGAAAGTTATTACACAAAATGGTTATGAATATAAAATATTGTTTTTTTGATACTTTTGTGATAAAGTTTTGGCCTAAAACGCCTTGTCAATCCATTTATTTCAATCTAGTCATGGCGGAAGAGTACAGGCAGGATGTTGCAAGGCAAAATAGTCCCCAAAGAAAACTTATTTTTAGATTTTCCATTATTTTACCATCATCAACATTACATATAAATACTCAGAAGACACGTGTAGGTTCACTGGAGGTTTTGGATAGTAAATAAAATGGCTATATTTGCCTTGTTGGCATGGTGACTCCTGGTTCCTATCAGCACCACTGTAAAGAAATCTGAGTCTCTACAATGAACCATTTTACATCAAACCACTCTGAATGACTTGGTTTACATCGCAACGGTGGAATTATGCAAAACAAATTTGACAAATCGGTGGATTTCCCCTTTAAGATTAGCTGTCCAACACTACTGTGGGAACCGTAAAGGCATAATCGGATATTAATTACAGACAAATATATAAGTATAGTCAGACATATAACCTTACCAAAATACCAAATTACTACACTATGACTAAGACAGATGGGAATAACTCAGTCATAAGATTTACTGGCCAACTAGCTACAATTAATTTCAGTTTCATTTTTAACGTTTCACGGTAAGTTACGTTTAACGTCGCCCAACGTCAACCAGCATGAGCAGAGCAAGAAACACAACCTCGCACAAAAACAGAACTAATAATAACCAAGTTAATAATATGATATAAAACCTAGTTAACTAGCTGGGTTAGCTGTCCAAGCTAACTGCGTTTCAGCTAACGTAACTAAACGGTAACCTTAGCCTAGCACAGTGTTTGCTGCTAACCTGCACATTTTAGTGTTTTTCCAGCTCCACAACACAACATGTTGGCTCACTAACGGACACTTTGTGGGGTTAAAATGTTTGCATTTTGCGTTTGAAACAGGGAAGGCACAAAAACGAGCAATATAGAAACAGGATTTGGGAACACGGAGCTTAGCACGTCACCGCGGTAGACAACCGCGGAGGCTAAAGCTAAAGCTAAAGCTCCACCCCCAGCTCTGGCTTTCACTGAGTGGGCCATTTAAAATGAAACCAGCGCACTGTCTGTCCAGCTAACGTTAACTGAACATGAGAAATATAGAAATTATTACGTTTTGTGTCTAATTCAGAATAACAGCAACGCGGCACGGTGTTGTCTTTTGAATCCCGCGGATATTTACCCGAACGCGCCGCTCCGCAGCAGCACACCGAGGTTACAGTGTTAAGAAGACTGACAAGCAAGGGCAGATAACGACAGGATAGCTAGCAAGGCTAACAGCGGCAACATCACCAACAATGCAGCACATTTATTTCCAAATAAAAAAAGAAGTCTAACAGACAGACAAAGGTAACACCGAGGTCAATCCTTACCTTGTATGAATCCGTCGCGAGTAAAAAATTGAAGTCCTGTGCTGCCATAACTGAACGGTTATACTATAACAAAGGTGAAATTCGTGTCTCTTCGTCCTTGTATTTATATGCAGCTCGTAGGCAGCGTGACTCTGAGGGGCGGAGAGGCACCGCTGGAGGGGTGAAGTAGGATTTTGACTCCCCCTCTATGATATCTGCTACGTCTGAGGGGGCAAATGTATCGTTCACGCTCGGTAGGAGACAAGAGGGCAGAACAGGGGGGCGGAGTTTCACAGGGCACATCAGTGATGCGTCACACACAGATGCAGAAGTGGGCGTTGCTGATGCCCACGTGGGCGGGGCCTTCCGAGTCTGTAAAGCTTGCTGGAATGAGCTGTGAGAAAGCAGCGCATGTGCTGCGGAGTTTCGGTTTCTTTGAAAAGAGAAACAAAACTTTAGAGACTTGATCTGCTCGGGTCATGTGGTCTGGCCCTCTTATGGCATCTCCTCAGTGTTTCAGCCCACATTGAAAATGTCTGTGTCAGCTGCTTCATGTGTATGAGCCATTCAGATGCTGTGACTGCTAATTTCCCGCTAATTACAGTTAAAAGGGGAATTCCACCGATTTTTCAAAATTTCCGAATATCACTGTCCTTGAGATGAAACCAGAGTCATTTAGATTGGTTTGATGTTAAATTGTTCATTGTAGAGATTCTTTACAGTGGTGGAGAGAGGAACCAGGGGTTGCCATGTCTACAACACAAATATAGCCATTTTATTTGCTATGCAAAACCACCAGTGAACCTACATGTCTTCTGGGGTTTTATATGTAATGTTGATGATGGTAAAGTAGTGGAAAATCTGAAAGTTTTCTTTTGTCTCACAACATCCTGCATGTACCCATCCACCACAAATGGATTAAAATAAATTGATTTAAAATATATTCTAGAACTAAACTTTATCATAAAACAGTGTCTCAGACATCAGGCATGGTATTCATAACCATTTTGTACAATAACTTCCTGTGAGGGAGCTTTTAGAGGCATTAAACACTTTAGATGTCTGGTTCCTATCACCACCACTGTGAATGATTCTGAATGATTCGGTAACTTTTTCTAGAACTGAGCATTCCACACCAAACCACTCTGAATGACTTTGTTTACATCTTAACCATTTATCTATATAGACAATTTCAAAAATTGGTGTAGTTATCCTTCCATTAGTACACATCCTTAAGTATTCTTTTCCACTGTGTGAATTCAGGTACTGAGGAGCACACTTTGGTGACACAGACCCGTATAATCTCCATAGAAAAGCACTACCGTAGAACAAGAAGCTCTGGAGGAGCCGCACATGAGTCATATCCAAGTTTAAGCGTGCCTAGAGGGGTATAAAGTGTCCCAGCACTGGACAGTGGAGCAGTGGAACTGTGTCGTCTGGCGTGATGGAGCTCCATCCAATATCTTTACCCATACAGTCTGATATATATCAATATATCGTCCTATAAATCCAACATATGGATTTCAAAGACACTACATATATTAGCCTATATAGGTTCCCCTTATATCCAGCACATATTGACCACATATGGACAAATATGTGACATATACTCCACATTTACAAATATGGGACATATATATGGGGCCTATATTCATAACATACACAAACATATATGTGTAAAATATGTATTTAACAAAATATCATAGAAAACAGTCAGATATGGATGACATCACTCATATATGCTAGCTTCATGTTTTATAATGTAATGTTTTTATGCATCTTCTTTCCACACACTTCCTAATAAAGTTAATTAATATAATAGCTAAATAACCAAAGTCTAAAACATGCACATTGAAAGCTACGTAAAAAATCATTAAAACATGAAATAAATGAAAATATTGTTTCCTGACATATTTAAATAATTTAATATTTAAATATTTAAAAGCAAACAGACATCATAGTAACAATTTCAATTGCATAATATATGCATGATCCATATATTTTCCACATATGTTTGATATTTGATATTTACATATATGTACACAACATATATGTACATATATTTTGAAATATAGGCCTGACCCTTTATGATACATGTGCCAACCCCCTATTAATGCACTTTATTTCAGAGGAAACATTGGACAGATGTCTACAGACTTTTGCACGTCTTCCATAGCACATGTAGTTATATATAAATAGAACGGTAGGTATTTCAGCCCTGCCTCTCCTGTTAAACTGGGTTGGGTGTGTTACAGAACGATCACCCTGCTTCTTTCACTTTTGTTTCTGCTCTGATCCTATCTTACTGGTTTCCTGAGGTAGGCAGGCCCCTTATCTGAAGGCCTTGCCTGTCAACTGTGGCTTGCCTTGGTGATTTAATTCAGTGTAGTAATCTAAAACAAGCAAGATAAGCTGCTTCCAAAGAACAGATAACAGGACTTTAGACATTGTTCTAGTAGTGATTGGAGTTTATGTGAAGAGAGCACATCAAAAGAAAGAAAAGACTAGCTAAAGAAACTTTGAGGTATTTGGTAGGTGTGTGATGTTTATGTAAGAAGCTAAAGAGCTGCATTACCAAGGCACATTAGTTGTCAAATTTTGCTGTCCTATGAAGGAACCGCCATTAAACAACAACATGAGTCACTGTGTGACTCACAGCCTGAGCCAGAATGGGCTGTGTTTAAAGGGACGGGGTGCTAAAACAGAACTCTGTGCTAATAGTTTTGGATGGTTCATCCATTTTAACATTATACATAATTGTTACAATGCATTATTTTCACTCTCTGATGTTACATTTGTCCATGCAATTATGCCTTAGCTTGTCAACGCTTGCTATTTGTGATTGTTGTAAATTTAGCCCTTCCCTTTACCTCCGGCCGAGCTGATTGAAACGTCAGGTTTGGTTGGCTGGGTTACTTTCTAATGTATGAGATGCTCCTGGACACACATTAAGCTTTTCTACTCTGCTAAATTGCACTGCTAATGGCGCATCAATTACATTAGAGCATGTCTAGGCTTTATTTATGTGTAAGAAACTCTGCCAAAGCCTTAAAGCACCTAAGTTCCTTTAGAAGTAAATGACTGATTCTTGTAGTTGGTATTAATTGTTCCTGTGCTTTTTATCCATTTCAAACATAAGGAAGATATATTAACTTGCAGGCCTTGCTGTTAGGCTGTTGTTTTTGGTGGCAAAAAGGGACATTTCGGCCTAAAACTAGAGGTTAATATGTTCTTTGTCGTGTTATGCAGTATTCTGTAGTGTGGTGTATCATCAGCCTCACTGGTTTGGCAGAATTTATGATTTTGTATCATTTTCAGTTTTTCTTTATGAATGTTCTTTCACTGCAATACTTAGCATACATTATACCAACACATGATACAACCATTGGGCAGGATTGTCAGCCAATCCTGACTGCTAGCCCAGCCACTGATCTGTGGGCTAATAAATACAAAACTAGCATTAATGTAACTCTCACCTCAGTCATCAAACAGAGATTCTATCTTTGTTCATCACAAATTGGATGCAGGTTTTTTACCCTTTCAGCCAGAGATAAGAAACCAACCTAAGATAAGGTCTGTAGATAGCCAGGTTGCTAAGTTTAACATCTTGCTAACTTTAGCTTTTAGCTTGTTGTCCTCCCCATTTGACAGCTACTTTCATGTGAGTAAGCCATTCTCTCCATTGTAATGGTGATTGAAGACACAGCTGTATGGCTGCCATAAAATATTAGGCCTAGACTAGAGCAATGTTAGCTGTCTAGCTTCTTCTGCATTCAAAAGCTAATAAAAAATATATCATTAGAAAAACTGAAATCCCCCCTAAAGAAGTTTTTCAAAGATACATTTTTTTTTCACGATACTCCCTCTTTGCACTAGAAAATCTCACTCTAGACGCTATTGTGGCAGACCACTGTTGTAGGATGCAGGTAGGCATGTTTACAGTGATGTAGCATATGTAGCAATGACTACATATAAACATGAATGAATGCTATTGTATCATAAGGGCTAATATCCAATATATGAATTATACCTAGTCTTGGATCAAATTCCAAAGCTAGTAAAATGTCACCATTTTTTAGTCAAAGTTTAGTTTAACCCCTTAAATTCTCAGGTTTGTTGTACATTAAGGCTTATTATTCATTAACTTCAGGGTCTTCAGTGCAAACTGGTTATTCTAACGTTAAAGAAGTGTGTAATAAAACTTTGGGCCTGCTGGTGGGCCCTGGCCATTTAAATGGCTAATTAGGTATAATAACTTGGCCACAGTAGCATTAGTTCATACTATTGTTGTTTATCAAAAGCAACAATCTATGACTGTGTGGTGCTCTCTGCTACTGAAAATCCATTTTTTTGGCTTAGGGTTAAGTCTGGGAAACTGAAATTTGTGACTGTGCAGTAGTTCACTGTTTAAAATCTTAAAAATTTACATCAGGGATTAATCATGGAAGTCAGCCCAGCCAGTTAATAAAATGTGTGTCAGCAAAGTTGCTGATGGAAAATCGTTACATAACAGTTATTTCTGTAAAGGTAATTACAGTGAAAACGTTTCTTTTAAAAACAAATTACCAATTTAGTTGTGACCAATTCTCCCTTGCTAGTCTGGACTCTCTGTATCACACAATGCTGCAATCACAATCTGTGAACTCCAGGCCACAGATGGTCTTACTCTGATTCACACTCACTGTCTCCTGATGATGGGACACCAATTATGTTTTAATTAATGATTCTGATTGTTCTTTCACCAAATATTTAAATATTTCTGTAAGCTGATATGAAAATAAACATTTGTGTGTTAAATGTGTGTTGAACAGCAGTGAACATACATACATATATACACACACACACACACACATATAGCTTCATAAGTAACATAGAAATGCAAACAAAGCTACGTTTGAACACTTAATTAACAATAAATGACTTCTTTGTACATTTTATTGTCATTTTCCTAAATAAATGACCTTTTTCTGTTTTTTTTTGTCTGTATTTTTCCCCATTCTTAAAAAAATGATAATTTTGTATTTTAATTGTGAAAGGATTTCTTTATTTTTACAGTGCAGTGTAACTCCACCATTGAAAATAACTGTCTTAGTGTTCATTTAGGATTAAGCTAAAGTTAATTTGTGGTTATGCAGTGATGTGTTCCAGTACTCAGTAGTCAATGCCAGAAGTGTTTCACCATTGGAAATCCTATTTTAGTCTAATCAGGGTCTAGGAAACAAATCTCTTCTATGCCAACTGGGTTTTACAATTAATAATCCTTTTTGAAGGGGAATTCCACCAGTTTTTCAAAATTTCTGCATAATTAAATGGATACAGTGTGAACAGTCATTCAGTCATCTTTTAGTTTTGGCCTAAAACATGCCTTTTTAATTCATTCATGGTGGAGAGGTACATGCAGAGTGTTCTAAGTCAAAACAGTACCTGAAGAAAACTTGATTTGTTTACCCCTGTTTATCATCAACATTACATATAAAACTCATGTTGAGGACATGTGTAGATTCACTGGTCATTCCGAATAGTAAATAAATTGGCTATATTTGTGTTGTAGATATCACAACCCCTGGTTCCTATCACCACCACTGTGAAGAAATCTGAGTCTTTAAGTTTCTGTACAATATACCATTTCATATCAAACCCCTCTGAATGACTTTGTTTACATCTCAATAATTGAACTGACTGGGAAATTGAGCTTAAAATGTCTTTGTGATGGGGAGGCTCTATGCCAGTGATACAAATTCTAGGCCTGGGTTTAATCTGAAAGTCTTTGTCTGATATGTTTCACCAGTTGAAGTTTAGAATTACTCATGGTTGTATATTATTATTATATTATATTATATTAGACCACCATTTGTAAACATTCTCATCTGCATAAGTACATATATTCACACATCTCTTTAAACCTATCTCACATTGGCTCTTCATTATCTTTCTTACTGTCTATTCTATTGATTACACTCTTATTTTGTTTGTCCCTTAGTTAAACACTTGTTTGGTCAGCTCAGTATCTTACAAGTCATACTCACCAAGACAGATCCCTTGTATGTGTAACATACTTGGCCAAATAAAGTGATTCTGATTCAGATAATGTGGGAAAGTGGCTCTAGAATAAATCTGTGAATGTGAAGCTGTTTGCCAACGTTGTTTCACCGTTTAAAAAACCCATTTAGATCAGGCTTGAGCTTAATCTGGTTGTGAGAAAGCTAGCCTAGCCGATGTTTGGAGAGATGGAGGTGTGGCGGAAACAGCGTCAACGACCCGCTCCCCTCCCCTCCATCCCCCCTCCCCTCTGCCCCCTCCCCTCCTCCCCTCCTCCCCCTCTGGCGATGTGATTCGCTCTCAGTTCAGCACCACGGTCAGCGCCCAGCGCTTTTTCCTTTGGAAGTAACAAAGCGCAGCAGGCAGCTGCGAGAGCTCAATGGACGGCGAGGAGCTCCTGAAAAGCGGCTTTATCTCCTCACCGGCGCTGTAGTCTCCCAGCCAAAGCCCTGTCTGCGCCGAATGGAGCGCTAAACGCAGCTGGCAGCGAGCACATCTCACTCGGCTGGAGACTCACGCTGGCTGTTGGGAAGAGTTACTCCAGACTCGCCCAGCGTGCTGCAGCTTCAGCGACACTTTGGTAACGTTGCTTGATCTCGCAGACTGAAGTGAAACGGCAGCAATTCCGCGGTGGTCCGCACTTTTCCCATCCTCAGGTGGTTTTTCTCGCTCTCGAGCTTCTTCTTCTCCGCGTACCGAGCGGCTTTGAGCGCCTCTGAGCGTCGAGAACTCCAAAGAAACATGCTGGACCCGTCGTCGAGCGAGGAGGAAGATGAGGTGGTGGAAGAGGAACGCAAAGTGACCCAAGCGCCCAAGGCTGGAGCCACCAGGGTGTCTCCAAGCAGGACCAGCGAGAGCCCTGGAGGTTTGCAGCCGAGCCGGACTAGCAACGTCCGGCCGACCAGCCCCGGGCCCTCGGCGGCTCTGGAGAAGGAGAAGGATGATCTGGAGAAGATGCAAAGGGAGGAAGAGGAGCGAAAGAAGAGGCTGCAGCTGTACGTCTTCGTGATGCGCTGCATCGCCTATCCGTTTAACGCCAAGCAGCCGACGGACATGGCGAGGCGACAGCAGAAGGTAAGAGCACAGTGGACGAGTCAAAGTCAGAAGCAACAGATTGTCCCTCAAATAAAGACCTAAACGGGGGTAAACTGAGTGCATCGCCACTCCAATTCATGCTTCTTAGAAATAAAGTAAGTAAAGCTGCATTGTCTTTGTTTAGTATTGTGTTTATGGAGGAGAAACATCTACAGCTGCTCTCGAAAGTGTCGAGAAAAAGGCAGCTCTGCAGCTGCTACCAGTTGCTTCTGTCACTGTAACTGCCGAGCATTCAAGAGATCTGGGTTTGGGTTTGTACCACTTTTGGCTCGTTTGCATTCACCTTTTCAGCCCCCAATTTGCTTCACCAGTCGTTTCAATTTATTGTTCATGACTGTGGTCCAATAGATAGAAAAGAACATGATTAAACCGTTCAATCTTGGCCAAATGTATCCTACTATAACAAGAACATATTTCATATTCATTATTTTGGGGTAATTGTAGCGTTCAGCACTCAGTAAAGAGGCTCTGGAGCTATTCTCCTTAGTAAAGAACTGTGGCTCAAGACCACCCACTCTTAAAAAGGTACCAAATGTATTATACTATAACAAGAAAACATTTTATATTCATTATTTTGGGGTGATTGTGACGTTTAGCACTTAATAAAGAGGCACTGGAGCTACCGTCCTTAGTAAAGAACTGTGGCCCAAGACCACCCACTCTTTAAAAGGTGCCAAATGCATTCTACTACAACAAGAACATATTTTATATTCATTATTTTGGGGTAATTGTGATGTGTAGTACGCTGTAAAGAACTGTGGCTCAAGACCACCCACTCTTAAAAAGGTGCCAGAAAGGGGAGCGCTATGGAATATTCCCTTCTTTCAGTGGACGCTTCTTTGAAGAAATTCTGGAACCTTTTTAAAGAAGAACCTCCACACAATACAAATTCCATACCAATTATGGGCCCATAATCTGCACGTTTGTGTATTTTATTTCCCCCCTGAGGTCCACTTATGATGTTTGTGCAGTCATAATTCATTGTCCAACCTCTGTTCATCCCTTAGAATGAAACTGGCTGTTTTTCTTACTGGATCTTTAAAGGAGAATTTTACTGCTTTCTCAAAATTTCTTAATTATTCTATTGTTGAGATGTAAACAAAGTCATTCAGGGTGGTTTGATGTGGAATAGAGCACTGTAGAGAAATGTACTTGGATTTCCTTGCAGTGGTGGTGATGGGAACCAGGGGTCACAATGTCTACAATGCAAATATACGCATTTTACTTACTATCCAAAATAATCATTAAACCAACACGTCTTCTGAGTTTTTATATGTAATGTTTATGGCGGCATCTTAGGTCAAAACTTGATCTCAAAATATCATAAAACAATGTCATCAGACAGCATATTCACAACCAGTTTGTGTAATAGCTTTCTGTGAAGGGGCTGGTAGAGGCAAACGTCTGGTTCCTATCACCACCACTGTGAACAAACCTGACTCGGTAAGCTTCTTTAGAACAGAAGATTTCACATCAAAGCACTCTAAATAACTTTGTTTAAATCTTAACCGTTTAATTATGCAGAAATTTTCAAAAATTGGTGGACTTCCTCTTTAAGATTGATATATATGTAATTGAGCTTTGTTCTGATTGGCTGCCTGTTCAGACAGGCTGAAACACTCCTCATAACTTCTGTGTGAATGGGTGGAGCTAAACTGCTGCTGGCTGTATCGATAAGCAGATAGATGCAAACGGAATGGTTTCTGTGACATCGCAAAAACAGTGAATTCAAAATAGGCTGAGTGCAGCTTAGTTTCCATAAATGGGCTGTTTTCTTTTGAAACTTTAAACTGTTTACAACTCGTTTAAAAAAAAGGGGAAGAAAATTAGGTTTTTCATGATGTGAGCCTTTAAAGTTTTTCCTTAGAACTGTACATCCAATCTAAGAACCACTTAGGAAGCTTTATTTTTAAAATAATCTCATTTCAGTGAGTTCTTCCGCCCATTTTTCTTTGAGTGTTTGTTTTTCTGTTCCATGTAGTGGCCTCACAGAATGTCTTTTTGTGCTACAGTACTTTGACCATTCTGTTTTTCTTGTTTGCAACAACATCAATGCTGGTGGAAAATCTATAAGCCATCAGTTGCAAGCAAGTGGAGCAGTCGGTCGTTGGTAGGAATCTGCTAGAGATGCAATATGCTTTTTTTCTCCTTTAGAATGGGCACTCGTAGAGTCATACATAACAGAGCAGAATGGACTGACCATTGACCATTGATGCAGAACACATTTGATGGTCTGCTACCGTCGCTTTGTTGTGCTTTGCAGCGTATGCCTGTAAAGCCGAGCCTGTCGAGGACAGTTCTCGAGAACTGTGTAAGAATTCACTTATAAAAATGTAACAGTACAACCAAAGGCCACATCTTAAAGTCTAACTGAAAGCAATTTCTTTAGCCGTGGAAGCACCTGAGGCCACTCACTTTAGCCTATAGTATGAATTTGTTGGCTGACAATGTTGAATATGACTCACCAGAGCCAAAGAAACCTGAGACGATGAGAGATACCTAGGAGAATTCCGCCTGTACAGGCTTATGATGAAATACACTAGATACTACATTACTCATAAATGATGAAATCTATTCTAGCAGCTGCTGATTAAAATAGGCTAATAAAGGAGGTGAATACAGCCAAGCAAACATGCAAACAATATGGGCAACCATGCCGTCAAAAAGCAACCAAAGTGAGTATTTATCAAGATCTAGATAAAAGTTTGCTAATTGATTTGGACCTTATCGCCAACTAGTCAAGCACAGCTTCAGACAAGGCCTGCTTATCTGCTAAATCTTTTTTTGGCAAATCAGTTTGAAACAATAATGCCACTCTTTGTCTGTTGATCTGAATGTTTACCTTGGAGAATACAAGGCTCTCTTTATCTTAGTCCCATCGGGGAGGGCCACTCCTGGGCTTGTTTTCTTGATGGCATTGTCTTTGGAGACAAGATGGTGCACTGGGACAAAAGGGCCACCTGTGGGACCCACTGGCTTGTTTCTTCATGGATTATGGCTTAGAGAAAGATGCTGATTGGGATAGCTGTGGTGTCTTGGGAAATCCTGATTTGTGTGTTAAAGGGCCCATATCATGGAAATGTACAGCCCTCTCCTCAGCCCATACGGTTCATATAAGGGTCATTCTACAAACTGGTTCAAAGTCAGAGTAAAAACTGATTGTTTTGAGTGATGCTGTACTTTAATTATTTTTATTTTACTAAGTCAAATGATTGAACATTCCATTTTGTCACTACCAAACCAATAATAACACTTCTGAAACTTTACCAAATGTCTTGGTAGTGACTGTTTCGGTAGTGACAACTTTAATTTTGAGCAAAACTCAAATATGCTAGCCAGTACATGACTTGCAAACACAGCTTTCAACACACAAAATCATAATATTTTCCATTAAGTTACAAAACAAACAAATAAAAATTTGCTTAATTGCAGAAAAAAATGTCTTTCAGTAGTGACAGTTCTTAATGTTACACACTAATTTTCAGACTGTGGGACACAAAACAATGGGATCTAACTGCTCACCATGTGGTCATGAGGGATGAAGTCTCACTTCCTGGCCTAAAATGCAGGGGTGTGGCTAAAATAAGGCTCTGCCTATGGACTAAAACCCTTTGAATTACAGTACTGACATTTATTTAAACTTAAACCCATGATAAATCTACATTTTTCAAGAGCACAATAAAATAGCTCTTAGCACATTTTTAATATATAGAAATCAGTACTGTTTTGTCAAATTTAAATGGTTCTGATGTCACCACCATGAACACATTTACATGTGACCACCCACTCAGCCTACAGCAGTTTAATTGCCCGTTCACATTGAAGTGATATGGAGGGTTGTTGCTGCAGATAGTCTGTAGCTGAGTTACTAGAGCCAAAGTTATGGGGGGAAATGATTATACATTGTGATATTTAGTGTGTTACTATATGCTTCTAAAGGATGTACTTATCCAAAACGTATATCAGTCTCAAAGGAAAAAAAAACTGTTTCTTTCTAAGGAATAAAAAGAATGAAGGAAGAAGGTCCTGTAGAAATAACCATTGTTGGTGCTTAAAACCACAAAAGCACACGAACAGTTAAAATGCACTTGTAAATTATTAGGAAAATGGAGAATTTGGGCCCTATAAGGCTAATAATCATTTCCTAATAATAATGGAAAACTGAATTTTCTCACTTTTTTAAAACAGAAGAAAGTGATGTTGTATGCAAACATCGCCCCAGTCCATACAGTCCATATATGACCACTAAGTTGCAAAAACAACCTATTTTGTTTCCATCCATGTTTGTGTGATGTCACAAAAACCAGCACATTTACATATATCCACCTATTCAGCCTACAGCAGTTTATCCCCACTTAAGTTATAAGGAGGGTTTCAAACCAGACTGCTTTTTAAATGAGGCACAACACAGGACAGCCAATCAGAGCAGAGCTGATTTACATATAGCAGTCTTAAAGGCAGACTTGCAAAACAAGCTTGTTTAAAGAAGGGATAAGGTTGGAAAATGGCCATGAAAAAGTAAGTCTGACTGTTTTTGGTGTCATAAGTGGACCTCAAGGAGAAAATACACTACAAGAAAAATGTATAAGTATAAACGGTTTGGGCCCTTTCAGACAGTTTGGGAATGAAGTTTGATGGTTCATTCAGAAAGAAATATTAGAAGAGAAAGTAGCAGTAGAACTGATGCCTCCTGTAGGCTCCCTTGCCAGCTCTGAGCTTTAGCACAACAGTGCGAGAACACCCAGCACAAATGGCAGAGGAAAAATGCTTACACTCACTTTATTTCAAGCTAATCATCACAAAGTGCCAAGCAGATGTGTTTTCCTGGCAGGTAGACTCGATGCCTCAATGCCCAGAGGTTCTGAAACTGCCAAAAATGGAACTCTCTCAGCCTAGCAATGTTATTCTTAGCCCATCCAGTCTAGTCCTCTTCAGAAAGCTTGTGTCATGGCAGAACTCTCCTGTGGGTCATTCTTACA